GATATGTAAGAGATTAAAACTCGTGTATCTTCGAATATATATATATATATAAACTGGCTCACCAGAATTGAAATTCTTTCTCCATTACATCATTGCAATACCAAATCCTCCTCCCCCCCCCCCCCCCCCCCCCCTCCCCCGGCTCCATAAAAAAAAAACTGTTGTGGCGGTTTTCATTGGGTGCAGTTAATGCCCTGGTAATCACTAAATGTCATCAATGCATTTCGGGGTGCTTGTGTCTGAGAGGCGAGGAACCAACAGTCTGCACACAAATAAGCTAGATCTGTAAAATACATGTGCACGCAAATATAAATTCCTGGAATAAGGCCAAAATTCAGAAGTATGCGTATAACAGCGAATTTCCACTGGAGACTACAACCAGAGTGCCGACTGCTTAAGGCGAACTCGGATGTGAAGAACAAGGTTTCAAGAACGGTTCAACATCATGGCAAACGGGTAGTAACCCACAAGTGCTCCGTTCTTTTTCTTAATCAAGTCTGAGTTCGTAAAAGCTCAGCACAGTGCCCAGGCTCATTAGCACCAGCCAGGATCCTGAAATACTTTAGGTAGATTTTTAACTCCAGATTTTGCCCCGGCAGCGCCGTTAGACTACTCTTTTCGATTTCCAACTGCCGGGGGTGGGGGGAGAGGGGGTTACGTGCGCAACAATTCACACGGGTGTCCGATCTCACTACCCAGAGACCAGGGGGAATTACTAGAAGTCCAAGACCAGGTGAGAAAATCACAGCCCTTACCGGGGATTGAACCCGGGATATAGGGCTAGGCCTATATTTTATAGACCAAACGGCAATTGATGGGTGATGTTGTCAGCATCACACCGGCCGCCTTTACTTCCTATGACTGTACCTGGTACCCACTTCAGGCTGTGTCGACCTGGGAGCCAAGGTCGTTTTTGAAAACAATTTAGCCTCTGTCAGGACCCGAACCCACGACCTTCCGATCGGCAGTCTAGCGTCTAGACCCTCCAGACCAAGTACTTCATAGAAACATGTAACATCCAGTATTCGATGTACTTCACAGGGGGTGTTAAACTCGGCTTAGGAGATTTTGTATTCTATGGGGTTCTTGTTGGAAAGGCGTCAGCAAAAGGAGACTGGAATACAACCATCGCATGCTTTGTTGCCATACTGATTGTAAGTAAACGGTTCCTGATGAAGCTGACAAAGTGCCTATATCTCCCACAGATATTCTTTTCTCAGCTCTGCTATCTCAGTGTACCACCTCTTCCTCCTCTTCTATCTTCTTCGTGTTACCCAGCTATTAACTGCATAAGGGGTGGGGGGGGGGGGGGATTTGGTTGTTCGTCCACCTCTGGACTTTAGTCTTGTTCCAGAACCTGAGTGTTTGGGTGCACATCCATAAAAAATGGTTTAGCACTGCAAGCCACTAAAAGGCTTGAAAAAGACTCTTGCAGTGTTGATGCGATCAAAGGAGACAGTCCCGTATACCGTCTTCTGGTGAGCCAGTGGGCGACCTGGTCGCTGATGTGAAGTAAAAGTCTCTATATCGCAGAGCCAAGATCAATATATATATATATATATATATATATATATATATATATATATATATATATATATATATATATATATATATATATATATACGTTGTTAAGACCAGTCGTTTCATATGGCTCTTAAACTTGGAGCACAACAAAAAGAGATGAAGTCTTATTACAATTTTTTTGAAAACAGTCATACGACAAATCTTTGAACCCATCAAAAGGGTAAACAGCGGGTAATGGAGAGAGAGAAGCAACAACGAAATTCATAAACTGTTTAAATCACCGGTGATCACTAGCAACATGATGGCTAATAGACTGAAATGGTTGGGGCATATTGAGAGAATATCAGATGATAGAAGTAAAAACTACACAGTAAGGAAGTTTAATCGTCGTAGACCACGAGACAGACCAAGAAGACGATGGAGAGATAATAGCCAGACAGACCTGCAGACACTTAGTATCACCAACTGGAAAGAGAAGGTCAACCAGACAGAAGTGTCACCAGCTAGGAAAAAGGTAAACCAGAGAGATGAATGGAGGCGGTGATATCTTCAGCAATGGACCTGAAGGGCACGGAATGCTAAAGAAGAAGGAAGAAGAAGCTGGAGGAGGAAGAGGAAAAGAAGAAGCTGGAGGAGGAAGAGGAAAAGAATAAGAAGGAGGAGAAGAAGAGAAAGAAGGTCTTAACATTCCGGCATACAACATTGGCTTTATATATTGTTGGATAGAAGTTCTATCCATTTTCACCTCTATCTGGATCTTGACAACTTTGCAAACTTAATATTTCAGGGTTTGTGTTGTACGTTGTTGCTGCTAGCCATCTTCAGAAAAGCCCTGCCCGCTCTGCCCATCTCCCTGACCTTTGGGTTGGTGTTCAATTTTGCCACCAGCATCTTGGTGAAGCCGTTTATGGAGAGCTTGGCCAGTGAGCAGGTTTACATTTAGACGTTATATTGGCAGGAGGAGCGGCTCGCCGAATGTTGTGAGAACACAAGGCTCTCCTGTGAGACATCCGCTTTCGAATGGTTGGTAAGGTTGGGCAATTTGTTTTCTGTTGGGGGCAGAAATGAAATCATAACCTGTATACAGTGCGTGGCGACAACACTAGCCATATGGCCAGGGCTTTGTTTTTCTGATGGTAAGCTGTACTGGCACCTTTTCAAAAGCATACTGTTTTCATCACTACCATAACAGACAGAGAAGCGGCTGATCAAGTGGTTACAGTGTCAAACTCCCATGCTGGGGACCTAGGTTCGACCCCTGATAAAATGATTAAGTTTTTCTGTCGGGCATAAAATTAAACATCCTCACGAATTCCCCCCCCCCACCAAAGCCAATGTCGTTATTACAACAGAAGGTTTTTTTCTGTTTAGCGACCACATCACATGTGATTTAGGGACATGCCATATTATAAGGGGGTTAGGGTTAGTGTTAAGTGAAAGGCGACTACTGCTAACTCTAACACTAACCCCCCTATAATATGGGATTTCCCTAAATTTCTCGTTATGTGGTAACTAAACAGAAAAGAACCCAAAAAAGAAAGCTGTAAGAAAATGTTTCACACACAGATGGTTTCAACCTTTGACATATACATCAACTCTTTGAGTCCCAGGATGTTTAGCATCACAGGCCCAGGGGGTAGTACAGAGAGTCATAAAATAAGAGCATCTTGCATTCATTGGGCTTCTAGGTAGGAACCTATGAACGTATGATGCGTTCTTGGGACTCAAACAATAACTTTGTTTTTGCTTGCAATTATATTCAAAGTATTTCAAATGTTATATATAAAGTTAAATATTTCAACAACTAATATTTGGGTTCTTTTCTGTTATTTCACCACAAGACACCGGCTGCGAGATTGTTTAGGGAAATTCCCAGACCGCTTCATAGTATAGATGGTTTAGGCTTAGTAGTAAGTGCTATTCATTTAAGACTAGCCCTACCACCCCCCCCCCCCCCCCAACCCCCGCATTACGGGACGGTCTGGGGATTCTCGAACCTGGCATGATGTGGTGAAATAAGAGAAAAGAACCGATATTTCATGTTTTTCAAATTTATCATTTAAAAATAAAAATAATGTTTCAAAAAACAATGACTACGTTTGTAGTACTTTATCTGCAAGCCCACGTGTGCGTAAGGATTCAGGTTTGAACAACGGATCAACATCATGGCACACGGGTAGTAACCCATAAGTGCTCCGTTTTTCTTCTAACTGAAGTCTGAGTCTGAAGAAGCTCAGCACAGTGCACAGGCTCTGAAGCACCGGCGAGGATCCTGAAATACTTTGGGTAGATTTTTAACTCCAGATTTTGCCCGGGCAGTGCCGTTAGGCTACTCTTTTTGATTTCCAACTGACAAGGGATTTTTTACGTTGCAACAATGCATGTGGGCACCCAGAGACCAGGGAAAATTACTAAAAGTCCAAGTCCACGTGAAAAAATCTTGCCACTCCACTTGAAGCAACCGTGTCTTCATATTTCTCAGTATGCTTTCTTGTAGTTAAGTTACAAACTAAAGGCTAATAGACGTCGCCTAGTGCGGCAACATTTGCAAATGATATCACAGTGTCTTTGAGAATGGAGGGGGAGGTGGTCTCTGCTGCCTTCCGCTGGCTTGAGAGTCAGCTGTAAACACAAGCCGTGATTGTAACTGACTCACAGAGCATGCTGAGAAAGGTGAAAACAGGCATGCTTTGTGCAGAGTGGCAAGCATCACTTCAGAGATTCGGGTAGTTAGCATCCTTTAGAAGTTTTCTCCAGGTGATACCGGTGTGTTGGGAAATGAGCAGGCAGATAGACTGACTGGCTCTGCAGCACGTGGTGATGGTGAATTGATGTATGACAAGTTAGATATTGTGAGGGCCCTTTGGGAATGAGTGAACAGTGCGGAGGCGCAGACAGATCATTACGGTCTAAGGAGAATGGCACTGCTAGGAGTTACCAGGGGATATGGCCGACACTCAACACTCAGGGGAAGGATGAGACCGATATACAATCAGACGGTTACTGGCACCATCGGAAATGGAACTCTTCGCTTGCTGCTGAAGATGGGACTGAGCACTTATGGGAGTGTCACGATTGCTGTGATGTTGATTCTTGATTCAACATTCAAGTTACGAACTAACATCACAGCACCGGAACACGCCCATAAAACTTTTGTAATATGTGTATACAATTGAATTCTAGCGAAATAAATCATCATATAAACTAGATGTTGACCAATACAGAATTTATTTCTCACTGTGCTGAACAGGTCAACATGATCTAATACGCATTAAATGTGTTCACAACACAGAACAGAACATAACCTGTATGGCTACTAACATTAGCATGTGGCAGTGTTATATATGTATATAATATATAGGTTAGTTGCGTATCCTTTACAGGACGTTGCAGAATCAACCCCAACAGCCCCTGGCTGTTGTGTGGTTTCTCTAGGCAAATTTACGTCCAGTAGTTTGCCATTGCTTTCTGGACGGTCGGCTTTCTTGATACCACTGTAGAAACTAACGCAAGGCGCATAGCCCGCAGCTGGGTTTGAACCCGGCATCTCGGCATTACGAAGCCTTTGCACTGACTTAGCCACAGAACCGACATGTATATATATATTTACTTCACAGAATATGTCAATAACATAAAACAACTGTCCAGAAAAAAAAAATCAATCTGAAGACCTACATTTCATATTGTCCTGCTATCTACGTGGTTAGTACAAAGCGTCAGTAATTAACAAAACATGTTTGTACAATCGCAGTGGATATTTAGTTCTGATATTTCTTCTTCTCATTTGTTTACTGGCTGTAAGCTCCCGCAGAAATTCCTGATTGTTCATCCCCTTGACATGGGTTTGTGCCAGGGCTTGAGGTTCTTATGCTGATCCATTTCACTGGCTTATTTATTTTTGCAATTGGTTGTTCCTTGCCGCTAGAGAAGAGGCCTGCGATTTCCAAGCAAGCTCCCAATTAGTCAACTTCTACGACATACTTGTTGGGAAGGCAGCAGGTCTATTCTTGTTTTCATCACAATGTGAGACCCGGAACCCGCACGGGAAGTTGGCCTTTTTAAAAATGAGTTAATGTCAAGAGCACTGACTTCACCGCATCAAGTTTACGCTCATGCTTCCTTTGCAGAATGGCTGCCTGCTAGATGCAAGTGTCATGCAAAGTACCAACTCCAGCTGTAGCAATGATCCCATGGGATGTGTGTAAAAAGTGAATGATCCCTTTGTAAAACAAATCCCATGGCCTTCACAGCGCGAGGCGAACGTCTTTCTAGGCATCGGGTGAAGCACAAACTAATTAGTAGTAGCATTATCCCCAGGGATTTCTGTAACAACTGAATGACATATCCATGAAACAAACTCATAAACTTCAAAGCGAGAAGCAATGGCTCTGTAAAAACATATCCATGAAACAAACTCGCGATTTTCAAAGCATGAAGCAAATGGCTTAACCACTTCGCCACACAGACCCCAGTCCATTTTGTTTAAATGGCATTGCATAATGACTGATACCATATTTTTCTGTTATTATGGAGTTGTGTGTCACCTATTTTAGGGCAGTGATGACTCCAACAATTTCCTAGTAAGCCCTAAACAGCAGTGGATGCAATACTGCATAACAGTATGGAAAAACATATTTACTAGGTGGTCTTGAACTCATGGCCACAAGTGTATGTATGCAAATATTATTATTATTATCACAAACTAAGACCTTCACGTCAGCTGTCTGTCTTGATAAGACATTAAAGTAAAGAAAAGGACCATTTTCCATGCCTTTCAGGTGTATTGGATATATAAGGCTAGACGTATATTTTATAGACAAAACGGCACTTGGTGGGTGATGTGGTCAGCACCACGCCGGTCGCCTTTACTTCCCAGGACTGTAACTGGTACCCACTCAAGATTGGGTCAGACTGGGAGCCGAAGTTATTTTTTTTTTAAAAATGGCCCTAGTCAGGAACCGAACCCACGCCCTTCCAATCCACAGTTGACCCTCTAACTGCTAGACCATGGCGGCTCCCTGATAATACATTATCTCTTCTAATTTATGTTAGCTGCAATTGTCAAGTTAAAACACTCTAAGGTAACCTTTTAATCAGGTCACCTGGTAAATGGAATTCAGTCAGGTATTCTCTATTTTAAAGTCAATCTTTACCACCTCCTATGTACTAACAATTGTCAAACAGGATGTTTTTAAAGATTCTAGCCTTTGGAGTTAACAGCCAACAAAAAAGATTCTATCACTGAGGAAATACTATAAGGAAATGTAATCAAACCTAATAAATGGAAATATGCTCATTTTGAGTGCTTCTTGATTTATTTAACACTGGATAAGCCGATGTAACTGACTCTCATATTTCTGTAAAACCAGAAAAGCCAATGCAACTAACTCTCATATTTCTGTAAAACCAGATAAGCCAATGTAACTGACTCTCATATTTCTGTAAAACCAGATAAGCCAATGTAACTGGCTCCCTCATTTCTGTGGAACAGAATAAGACACTTGGCTCTCGCATTTCTGTGAAACCGGATACATCAATTATATTGACTCTCACATTTCGTGAAACTGAATAAGCCAATTATATTGGCTCCAACATTTTTGTAGATATGGATCATCATCAAGTGTCTTGCCAACCGGTATAGGTGATCGTGCCTCTCCACAATCCGCAACTGCGTGTATCAGTTCGAGTGTTGACACCACTCAATGCAATGACAATAGGCTGTAAAGAATCCTCTGACACTATCTTTCTCTGTCTCTCTTTCCACAGATCTTTCCAGTGGTCTGTCTCTCTTTCCACAGATCTTTCCAGTGGTCACAACATGTTCCATTTTCCCTCTTCTCATAACATGACCACAAAATGACGATTGTCTCTTTCTGATGTTTTTGATAAGTTGTCTTCGAGCACTCGCCTATTTAAAAACATCTGGTTTGCTCTTCTTAGCTG